GTTTACAAGTCATCGTGTCCTGTAGAGTTGAATAGGTATCATATTCTTTTGAAAATATTTTTATGTCCGTCGACCATATCCGTTCACCGTTGAGGTTTTACGTGCACCGATGTACTCACACCACCGTGGTTAAAATTCGTCAACCACTGTCCATTTGTCGACCACGTTTCCGAACTGTGCAATTTTTCGTTATCGGCCAATATTTGTGCTGTCGTTGTTTCCACGTCCACAGAGCGTCGTCGAACCACTCGTTATCGCGTAGTCGCGAGTGCGTGTTTTAATATTTTAATAATATTAGGGTTGTCGCTCATTGCGAAATGATGGTCTTGTGCGTATAGTATTATTAATTGCGAACGTTTCTCGAGGATTGCATTTACTCGTTGGGAAAGTGTAACAAAATATTATTCACCTGTTCCTCGACGCATCTTACACTAAGCCTTTAAAATCTTTGTTTAGGATTTATTATAGTTTATTAGTTTTATTAGTTCAATAATTTTACTTGAAAACTGGTATTATAATCATTAACCATAGATTGACATACGTCAGTTTTTGATATAACTCAATGAATTATATTAGTGTAGGTATACCTATTATTTAATTTAATTTTTGTAAAACGATAATCGTATTTATTGTAAAATGAAGGAATAAAATAAGTGTATACAATAAAAAGGAACCACAGGTCACCATGATATTATGGTGTTGAAAATTACAAAAATTATGTGACCCATAATTTTAAGTTAGAAACACATTCTTTTTATCCGTTATATAATGCCCTTACGTTTATGCATTGCACTTAATTTTAACACTGCATCTATAATTTAACATAAATGTTTTAATATATACAATGGTTTGCTTTATTTTTTTTCAATTTGTTGTGTCTTCTCATATACATTACAAAATCAGTGGTCTATAGTACCCTAGTGCATAGTCACACAGGTGTGGTAAGTGACATTTTTTTTAATGTTCAAGGGGTAGTGCAGAAATTTGAAAATTCACAATGTTCCATAGAAATACCTACAGCATTTATCCAAACCAAAACGTTATCAAATGGATTAAATATTAACCATACACTTATAAAATTTGTAAATATTGCATAATATTGACTTTAATATATTTATCTCAATTTAACAAAAAATTGTCCCTTACCACACCTGTGCACTAGGACTAAATCATTAACACGATATATTATAAATTATTATAGGGGGACGAGGTGACCGAGTGGTCTGACTCTTCCGCTGCGACGCAGCCGGTCGCGGTTCGATCCTCGGCCACCGGGCGGCATTTTTCTCCGGACAAGTCGCGGTGACCGGAGAGCAAGTGCTGCCATCCCCCACCCCCGGGGCATGGCAGAAACCTACGGGTGCCCCATTCGAAATTCTGCCAAAACAAACACACACGTGTTCCCCCTACCGTTCCAAAAACCTACAAACCATCAATACAAAAACCTACAGTACCTACTAATAGCTAATGGCCACAGTTGCCGGGCTCAGGATCAATTAAAAAAAAAAAAAAATTATTATAGGCTTATTCAATTTTTTTATCATCCTACCTCTATACTCCTGAAATACAACACCGATGTGTTATAATATTTATAGAATAACTCGACTAGACAAAATAGTTAGTCAGACGAACGGAAGCTGAGTGAAATGAGGTTATGCGGTAGTCAATAGTTATACAATAGGTACCTATTTGATAGTTTTCTCATTTTTAAAATGTTTGCCCTAAAATATAGGTTCTCTGTACCTACAATGCTTGAATTTATAGTTTAAACTTAAACAGGACTGAATATAAAATCTCCCCTACCTGGAAGACGCCTATATGTTCATATTTACATTGCTATTACAATATTAATTTTGGTGTTAAAATAATAAAATGTGTCATACGTGTAGTTTTCAATTATTATCTAAACAGTAAACACGTAATATGGGTAATTGAACATAATATTTAAATTTTCACATAATATACATATACCTAATATTGAGTTGTTTCATGAGTGTCAACAAAAATACGCGGGCGTTGTTTCCTATGATGTTATAGAATATAAATACCTAAAAAAGTATAAATTAATATTTTGTACACAGACATTCACCATGGGGTTTTATCATTTATTGCTATCCATAATATAATATGTTCTGGTTGATTGTTGTGTCACTAATTTTTTATCATATTTCATGCATGTTTATTTTTTCCTCCAATAATATTGAAACCCAAATTGAATATTTGTATTTCAGCTATCTATACAGCCCATAAATACTTTTTGAACTAGCATTAACACATACAACATTGTATTCGCTGTGTTTTAAAGCTATTATCAATATTAGGTAGGTTGCTATACATCTACATGAAGTTAAAAAATATTAACTGTGTTTAAGCTGTTGTATGATAGAACTAAATGCCATTAATATGAGTTAGGTAATAGTTATAATAACGTATGACCATTTTATAATCCATTCTCAAACAGTTTAGTGTTGTCCATTTCTGTCTTGGTAAGCTATAATCTACCAGCTGCATGCCAGGGCCGGGTATCAAGTCTCTACCATCCAACTTAGTATGGTTTCAGTTTTCTATATACACAAATAATCCTTAGCATTAAAATTGTCCTGATTCGATGTCGCTGTAGTTAGTCAAGTTGGCTTTTTTGATTTCAACCATATTTGAGGAATTTTATTTAAAATTCCATTCGAGAACAGGATACCGAAGATGTGGACATCTTACGTTTAATTCGAAAACGAAAGATAACACCTCCCTCCTGTAATTGGGGTAACAAAGATTAAAGAATCAAAAATACTTATCTTGAACAATTGCTCAAGGATGAGGAAGTTGCTAGGTAGAATAAAAGGAATAATGGAATTAACAACGGAAGCTCTTGACTGGTTAAAGAACTTAGACACTAAATTATGACTCGTTGTGCAAACATATAAATATTAAAAATTTTTTTTAGGTATTTAAATTTTTAACTGCAATGATGTTTATTTTTATGTTATAAATACTCACACAATAATGATGATAATAATAATAATAATAATTACTTTATAATGTATAAAGTAAAATCTTTTATACTTAAAATGTATTTAATAATTATTTATAACTAAACCATCGTGTTTCTGTGAAATTGTTTTTACATGTTCCTTTAAAGGTTCATTATATACAGCTGTTATTCGAGAGGGATTGAAGAAGGAAACGTTTATAAAAAAGTTATACGTACAATATATATATATATATAATATTGTTAAGATGTATTTAACGGCTCTTTAACGAGATGCTTTTATTTACAAAATATAAGTGTGATTTGTTGTTTTCATAATCACGTTTACAGCAAGGATATATCCGTGTTTTCGATTATGTTTCTTATAATATTTAAACCGTAAGGATAAACAATAATTAGCTTCTAAGGTTATCCTTGTTTATTAACATAAAATTTAATTTCTATGATTTTCTTTAAAATATATTCTAATAACATTAATTGTTAATACCCAACATTTTAGGTACATTATTAAAATACATTAATAAACAAAAATGTACCTGAGAATGTATTAAAATTATAAATTATTTAAGCATTTATCAAACTTGTAATATCATATTATATGTTGAAACATTTCATGCATATTATTTCAAAAAAATATCATAAACTGTAGCTGAGTGCCAGAGCATAGAATATTTTCGATCTAGACTAAGTGGAAAGAAAATGGGTTGAAATATTGAAGCATTTGAAATATAGTGCTGGGAAATGAACATTGAAAATTCCGTTAACCGAAAAAGTTTAAACTGAAAAAGTATACTTAATAATGAACGAACCGAAAACAATATGAGAAGCAATCAATTAAAGGAAGAAAAATATGGATGAATAACGACAATAATGGAAGGAAAAGCTGAGAGGCGTTGACCAAAAACTCCGTCAAGTGAACTCCGTCGTAGTAATTGAATTAAAAAAAAAAAAAAAATACTTTGTTAAGACTTTTTCAATTATTTTAATTTCAAATATTTGAAACTGGAGTGTTAGGTAAATTTTAAAAGAAACATGTTATATACGTTTTAACAAAATACATTTTCCTTAAAAATAATGATTTAATAAGTATTTGTTAAGAATAGAAAAAATTCCAAAACGATATCTATATTATCATTATGGTGTCATATCATATCCCCCGCGGTCACTCTTCCCCCTGATACTTCTGTACAGGTAATATTATGTGTGTCACATTTGACAGTAATATTAAATTCGGTTAGTATGATGTATTATATTATTACTCTAATCCGATTGCCCGTATATCCGGTGGTTTTGAATACCCCTATATTATGATATGAAATACAAATAATGTAGCCATATAGGTAGATATACTCTTAGTATTTCTATCGTGTGTGCTTGCTGCGTGTGAAAGAACAGGTGGTAACGACGATAGTGATGTAGATAATATGGACGAAACCGTTTACAAAACAATAATATTATGTTAGCAAGACATATATTATTACACTTGCGCGGATATTATTTCCCTATATTATGTGTCTATGCCGGTTAGGAGTAGGTGTACTTAGTGAGTGCCTAACTATCTACCTATTTCAAAAGCACTGAAGCAGCTGCTGCAAACCGGCGGAAAGACGCTTTATGCTCGGTTTTTCGTATCGGTCTGACTCCGGGTGTTACACGGCCACACGGATGGACCATATTAAGTTCAATACGTCACGGTGTTTACTGTTAAGCGTAATCGTAATATTAATACAGCTAAATTATTGTCATCGTAATTTTTATTATACGTCGCGGTACTCGCGATGACCTTTGCGTTCGTGTCCGGTATATCGATTTCCGCGCAACTGGTAACACTGCGCTTCGCTGTCCCAGTGACGTCACCCGTACACGCTACCGCGGTAGCGGCGGTCGGTAACGAGTTTCGGGGTGCCGGTGTGTGTGCGTGCGTGCGCGCGCATCCACCCCCGCGACAGGGATGATGAAAAGCGGACACGGGGTTTTCCGCCCACGGCGGACCCCGCTTTTCCACTTATTGTTCATTCAAAAACCGACCGCGGCTGGTTTGGCTTTGGCGCGTATTGTGTCTCAGTCGCGCGTACCGTGCACACTCACGCCACCTCACGTCGTCGTCGTCGCTGCTCCACTGTCGTTGCCAGTACACGGAAATCATCGCAATCTGTGTAAGTATAATATTGCTACTACTACACTTATAATGCACAAATAACGTTCAAATTATTATTGTAGAACTTTAGTTTGTTAACACTTTTTGACCATACGTGGACACTCTAATAATTAGCCCTATCGGTTAGAATATATATTTTGTAAGTTATCTGGTCTTGAACCCCAATTTTATCCTTGTTCAAAAAAACAAAAATCAAGTCTTAATTGAAAACCGGGTTTGAGACTAAGACAATTCAAAAAATTAAATCCCATGTACACCTCGTGCAGTGCTACGTTTGTGGCGTATTACAATTTATGTTTTGATCTAGAAGACATTTTTCCTCCACGATTATAACCCAATAGTAGGCAGTACCTACTACAAAAAAAGTACCTAGAAATGTCGGTTATGATTCGTTTTCCGTATATTATCATGTTATTAGAATAGCTACAATACTATTGTACTATTATGGTTTTAAGCGTTGGATGTCATAATATTATGTTTTGAACATATTTTCGTATAAATATAATATTATCATATCATATAGTAAACATATATGATTCGATCTATTAGATTTCTCAAAGTAGTCTGAATTAGAACAAATATCAAGTGTACAGTATAAAAATTTCAAAAATATTGTCTTAAACCCGCAACATAGTTAAACTTAAAGCTGTGTGTGTTTTTATTATTATCAAAGATATCAGTGGAATCTAAGGCCATTTGATGAAAACATTAATTTTGGACTAAGATTGGGTTACATTATTAATTGTATAATTTACATAAAAAATAAATTATACAAAAAACATACCTTGCATTACATTATATTTGATTTATGAGGTTTGTTCTTAATATGAAACCGAGAACTTTGAGAATATTGCTCGGTTCCGAGTTTTATATTCTGATAGGTGTTTGGATTTCGTCAATTTCATTTTCTTACGTTTAAAATTTAGCAAAGATGTAAGAGGGAGGCCACAGCAGAAATATGCAGGAAGGATATTTTCTTTTCATTAAGTGTTGATGTATGAAGTGTCCTATTCTGAGGTTTATACATCCTATTTTTAGGCATGTATGTCTTAATACTGAGATGGGTAATAGAGGTCTCGTGGTTTATTTTTGTGTTAACTTCATTATCTTTTCTTGAAAGTTTGAGCCTTTTTTCCAAATTGTGGCGTGTGTTAAATAAATTAATTTTGTTATTCAGTTGTGAATCTTACAAAATACTTAGTTTGTTTTGTTAGAACTTTATATTTATGTTCATCATTGTCTGATAAGTGCTTCTATCACTAACGGGACTACAATAATTATGTTTTAACAAAATATTAGTACTAACATTAATTATAATAAATACTAGTAATTAGTATTTATAATTATAAACACTGGTACTTGTACTAACTATTCTTTACACTCACAACCGATGAAAAGGGTACGAAAACTTTTTTTTAAAACCACCTATAAATGTGATTAAAATTATGTTGAATTATTAATCAGCTTTTTAAATTTATCTTATTGGGCCATTAAAATTGCCTATACAAAACGCCTTGACATACGTGATATTATTTCTTCTTTGACGATAATGTGATAATACTAATGTATTCTTATTGTAAATATCTTTTCTTTTTTTAATAATTAATTGTGTATAAATTAATTTAAGATAACAATAATTATGAAACAATTTTTTTGCTGAAACACAATTCATAAGAATTAAAAAAATTAACAAGCCTTTTACCTATAGTATATTAAAAATAGTTTGAAATTAAAAACATAATTCCGTTTATAAAATTGCAGCCAAATTCTAATCTCCCTTTCAAGGTTTTGAGTTTTTTTCTTGATATCGAAACGATAGTATGGCATAGGAAAATTCCAGTATAATATGTTTACACGCCAGTGTGAAATACTGTGATTTTAATGGCAGCCCATCCTTTCTCATCTACTTTTCCGGTTCGGTTTATTATCGCTAATACCTTGTTGATATACCTATCGTTAAACTTTAGGACTGTCGCTGAGCAAACCGTTTAATTGGCGCTTGTTGGCTTTAACATTTTCTGTGTTTAAAATGGTAGAACCACGACTGACCATTTATATTGCTTTATATAATATTATTATGACCAAACAACTTTAGCAATCCATCGGTGCTCGACATTATTCTTTAAATTTTATAATATGAATTATTATCATATTCGGTTACTTTATTGTTGAAAATATTTCGATCCATTTACAGTAAGTTGTAGTAGGTACTGTGTAGGTATTTATCATTAAAATTTCTTCTGGTGGTATGATAACAAAACGAAAACGATGTAGGTTTGCAGTTTATGACCTATTTTTTCCATCCTGTTTTTGTATAAGTTCATTAAAAGATGACCTCACATTGAAATGCTAGAGCGTAGACACTATTGGACTGTAGGTAATATCTTTCTTTTGGAACGGCGTCTACGTTTTTTTAATTACGCTAAGTTTATTTTTTGCTACGTTATTTTAAAACCACGCATTACTCTACACAGGAGAGACTTTTTCTGAGAGATTAAAAATTGAGTTTGATTATATTTATTTACTCTTAATTTTAAAATTGAGACTAACTTTGATGTATCTCATCTGACGTATTTAAAATGTTGACATCATATTATATTATATAAGTCAATATTTTATCTGCTCCATCGTCATTTTTCAGTCTTATAAAATCTATCTATATACGTGTAAGAAGAAAAGTCCACAGTGAAAATCTATAGTTACAAAGGAATATATAATTTACTTAATGGTTATCATGTTTAATGTTAGGTTATAACTTTTAATTAATCAAGTTATCTATTAATTTAATTCGTATAAAAATATTTTCATATATAATATACATAAAATAATAATTAGTATTAACTCAGACAGTCAGGGATATATGTAAATGTAGCTGATTGTCACATTCACTCATTTTTTTCATTGTTATTATACCTTACAGTTTTTTGCCATTCCTTTTTTTGAGAGATTTGAAACTTAATTATTTTAATAAATAACGAATCTTATATTACAGTAGAACTTTTTCCATACCACCTGAAATGTGTTCAAATAAGATGAAATGTTTTGTGTAGTTTATTATTCTAATTTTAACTCATTAACTTAAGTTATTTTTCTTAATAATAGATACAACTCACATCTATTAAATAATGTTTAAACCTCAAAAACCTGTAAAACCAAGATTAATTTAAATTTATAATACATTAATATCTTTAATTTTAAAAATTGTGCCATAAATACTTATACATTTGAGAACATATAAGTATTTATTAATAACTTATGCCCATAGTAATGTGTTACTAAATTTAGTTCTAATTGTTAGAAGCTGAATTAAATATAACTAATAGGTATTCAGATTTAACACTCACATTAAATTTTAGTCATGCATTGAATATATAGGTGATTGTGTTTGTTATGTTTCAACGTATACTCGAAATATTATTAAATAATAATATATAAGGTCGATTATAACTTGTAAGTGTATTGAATCTTAATTAATTTACATTTTAAAGGTTTCTGCGTGACAATGACTACAAAAACTAATAATAACTTAAATATTAATACTTCACTATAGCTGCAAAGGTTTCAATCAATTTAGTGTTTGGTATATTAAATACTTATAATATATTACTAATTAATATACTAATCAAAATATCAAATTTTAATTATGATTATGTTTAACATGTTATATTTAGAAAAACATTTATATAATCGATAGTTGTACGCATGGTAGTCATGTTTTTGTTAAAAAATATTTATTTTAAAAGTTTTTGTTTAGTTTAGATCACATTTAAAGCCACAGTTACGCATAAATAATTTTACTTAACTATAGAAAAGACAAAAATATTGTTAAAATTGAAAACAATTAAAGGTGTAAATAATATTATGTAACAGGCAATATTTCGAAAATTCCAAATGTTCTTCGCAAGTGTCTTCTTAGCCCTTAGGTTTATAATTTTATTGTTAATTTAAAACAAAGCGTATACAACCACATATTTTGAAATTTCATGAAAAACTGATATCTACTGATCACCATTATTATTAAGTATATCTAACAGGAGCCAAACGTTTGTATTTATAGTTGATATCACGGTTATCTCGATAATCGCGCAGGTTAAAAGTTGATACTTAATGTTCATAGTCATTTTTCAACGATTATTTTTAAATTTTACACAGTGATTAAGTGATGCCACTGTGGAAATTCTGAAAAAAATTAAAATACAACGTTATACCTATTTATTTAAATATATTTATATTTAGTAAAACCAAGTCCGTACCTTTATTTCCACACATTACAGGGAAATGATATTTTGGCCGTTTCTCGGATGATTAATTGTCTAAAGAATAAGTATACCACCGTCTTGGCGTCTTCAGATTTAAGACATCCGCCTTTCTCATAGTTACTCTGTGAGAGCTCACAGTGTACACAGTATACATATTTTACTTCCTATTTACTATTTAGAAATCATCTGCATCCATATAAGTCAAACATGGTCGGTGGACGCCGTATGGAATGACTAATTGCTCTTATTATGTCACCGTCATTTGTTGGTTTAGGTAAAATTTTGCATGCTTGAATGACGTCAATTATGTATTACCTAGGTATATATAAGTACATAAATCACGTTTTGCATGGTAGGTAAGATCGCCGAGCCCTGTGCGAATTTAACTTGAAAAATAAATGAAAATTTCTTCGTAAATTATCGCGCCGTGTCAACGACGACAACGAGTGTCACTTTACACAATTTAAGAGACTTACAATCGCCATTCTCAATAATTAAAATATAAATATCGTTTGAAAAGTAAAAAACGTGTTCACCCGCGCCGTGAACACAATTATTAGTTGTTGGATGTTTTACCTACTATTTAATTGTGTGCACTTTTATGACCTGTGGATGGCAAAATGTTTCAGACATCTACTGAATATTAGTTGCGTACCCAGAATTTTATAACTGGGGGGTCAGCATAGCTCTATAGTATCTACTGACTATGTAAGTACTAGAAAGTGGTTCTCGAATTATT